TGTCCTTTTGTTCTTCAGTCTAGTTGTGGAGGACGTCGACTCACTGGCCCATGTTGGTATTATCATTGCGCTCTTCCCGGGTGAGGCAGTCGCTCACTGGCCATTGGACGGCCGCTCACACCAGCTGCCGCACAGCCCCACTGCAGCCTACACCGTCGCCAGCGACTCACAGCAGCCCAACTCCAGGTCAAGCTGTTGTTCATTGTCTTAGCTATAGAGGGCGCAGCGTCACTGGCCCTCATGTGGGATCCGAACCGACGCCCTGCTGCTCAGAGCTGGCTTCCCAAGAGAATTCTTAACCAACGCACCCCTCGGCCGGTCCGTGACTTGCTTTTAATCAATAGAAAATGGCAAAAGTGATGGAATGTACATGAGTACATGTACATGATTACATTACATAATATTTTAACATCTGTCTTGTTTTTTGTTTTTTCATTTTTTCATGTATTGGGCATAATGTCACAGGAAGGTCATAGTATACTGCCACCTGTGAGGAGAAAACCCAAGTTCCTGTTGGATGTGTTGTAAACAGAGGAGCCATTCTTCAGGCGCCCTGCTCTGATCACACCCCTACATCTGTCTTGTTAAGAGACACACTTTCCCCTGCTAGCTTTAATGATGCAAGCTGACATGCTGGGAGAAGGCCATGTGGCAAGGCACGTAGGACAGCCTCTAGCCAAGACAGCAAGAAACTGGGACCCTCAGTCCAGCAACTTGCGAGAAATTGAATGCTGCCAACAACCACAGGGGCCTGTAAGCAGATCCTTCCCCAATCGAAACTCAGATGAGAAAGCTGCCCTAACAGACACCTTGACTGCAGCCTTCCAGAGCACCCAGTCAACCCACGCCAGGCTCCCGACTCCCAATAAATGTGTGTTGTTTTAAGTCACTAAGTTTGTGGCAATATTTATGCAGCAACAGTTAATACAACAGTCTTTGCCATCATGAAGTATACATTTTAGTTACTAAAGATGTATAGGTAAGAACAACATGATCAGAGGTGCACTTCAAGCAAGAGTTTAGAGGGTGGATTAAGGGGGGACAAAAACTGAAGGTTAATGCTGTAGTCTAGAATGAGGCCTTGAATTAGGAATGGCAATGGGAACAAAGAGGGAGATGAACCAAGGCTAAGCTCACTAGCCTTCACTTAGGGAATCACAGCAGTGGATGGAGAGTACGGCAGCCGGCCTCCAAGATGGCCTCCAATGAGCCCAACGAGCCTTGCTTCCGAATATTCTCGCTCATGTGTAATCTCCCACCCAAATTAAATCAGGGATGGCCTATGTAACTAACTAGGCGGAAGCAACAATATGTGACTTCAGAAGCAACATCATAAAAGGCATTATAGTTTGCGCTTCATGTAACATTGTAGTCTTCGCTCATTAGCTCTGGAGGAAGCCACCACCATATTGTGAAAACACTCCAACAGCCCTCTGGAGACGCCCATGTGGAGAGGAACCAATCTGCCAGTATCAACCCGCCAGCCACGTTGAGTGAGGCACCCTGCAAAGGGATCCTCAAGCCCCAGTCAAGCCTTCAGATGAGTGAAGCCCAAGACATCTGACTGCAACCACATGAGAGACCCTGAGGCTGAACCACCCTACCAAGCCTCCACCCAAATTCCTGACCCACAGAAGCCATCAGAAATAATAATTCTGTTTTGGAGTGATTCATTACATAGCAACGGATAACGCAGAGCGGAAAAAGGCAGGGAAAGAGAGTTCTAGAAGAGGGAAGTTGGGGGGAGGCAGGGTAAATAGCTCCAAATCCTTCCTCCATCCCGCTGTACAGGAAGTCATTGAAAGAGGCTGCAAATACTGAATATTGCAGGCAAGAGATTCCCACCCAGACTTAAAAGCTCCAGGCTGTCGCCTCTGCCTTTCCTTGAACTCATCAAAGTCAGGAAAAATGCTAATTGAATGAGTTAGGGATTTAGCCATTCAACAACCACACATTGAGCACCTCTTGTGCAAAGTATTACGGAAGATACCAAAAGGTCCCTGCTTTCCAGGAGCTTACTAAAGATGACATATCTATAAAACTACCTACAAAATGAGAAACAAAGAGGAGCAATTACTTCTGACTAGCGGGAATCGAGAAAGCCTTCACAAGACATTAGTTTACTATATTAATTCTTTTTTGTTTTTCTCTCCAGAGATAGAACTGCATGTTTTTCCATAGTTAGCTATGGAAAGGGTAAGTGTGCCAGGTTACCTTTAGCTATTACTGACCAAGACACCAAAATAAATCCTGCTCCCAGCTGTGCCTACAGGAGGACCCACTAACAAACGCCCTTGTATCATCCCTTCAAAGAACCCAGAGCATGCCAAATGGGAACACTCCTCAACTATGGACCACACATGCCAATCATAACCACCCCAAACATTGGTGCCACTTAGAGAGCACAGCCTGATGATATTTGACCCCTCCATAGAACATGGTTCTTTTCTCAGATCCCAGTCACCTTATGAACTTGATTAAGCTACTGAATGCCTAGAAGCTCAATTTTTACTTGCTTTTGTTTTTTACCAGTTACATTTCAAAGGAGATGAGGTGGCTTGAATCTTTTATCACAAATTTCTACCAGAAGCTACAATTTTCTTTTTTTTATTTTAATTTTTTTTTATTGGGGAACAGTGTGTTTTTCCAGAACCCATAAGCTCCAAGTCAAGGAGTTGTTTCAACTTCTTGTGGAGGGTGCATCTCAGTGGCCCATGTGGGGATCGAACTGGTGACCTTGGTGTTATGCGCACTACGCTCTAACCAACTGAGCTAACTGGCGGCCCCAACAGTTCCCTTTTTCCAGTCACACTTCGGCACAGTTTACTCTGTGCTGAACAAAAAATATTGGCCTAACTGGGATCTACTTACTTGTGTGTTTATGTTTTATTTTATTTTATTTATTTATTTTTTTTATTATTATTNCTCGAACCGCTGTTGCTCAGAGCTCAAACTCTTGAGCGAGCTCTTAACCAACTGAGCCATTCGGCCGGCCCCTTATGAGAGCTTTTTTAAAAAAGCTCAACCATACCCCAGAGCAATTCCATCAGAATCTCTGGAGGTAGAACCTAGGCAGTGGTCATTTTTAAATCTCCCCAAATAATTCCAATAAGCAGCCAAAGTTGAGGACCACTGACCACAGAGGTGTATGTGTATGTCCTGTTTTCCTCCCCTCAGGGATTCCAATTTAGTTGGTCTAGAGTGGGACCCAGAAATCTCTTTTTTAAACAATTTCCCAGCTGATTCTGGTGATCAGACAGATTTAGGATAGGTTACTACCCTCCTGAAGCTAAACTGCCTACTCCCACCTGCCTTGTAACTAGTCATTTCTGTGGCTATAGATAAGCTTAATAGATGCAGGTTTTATTTTCTTCCTCCTCTCTGTGGCACAGAATTTTGGGGACAGCCCTTTACACGCACCAAAAGACTCCTTAAAGGAGAGTTTCCTTGACCCCGTAAATGGGAAGCAGCAGAAGAAACCAAGTGGGGGCTAAAAAAAAGTATGCAGCTTGCTAAGGGGAAGAGCAAGAAATCTGGTGAAAGATATAGGAAGGGGTGAGTGGGGATGGAGAGGTGATATCACAGGGAAGAAAATGGGGCTGATAGGGTTCAGTAGCAAATTAATAAAACACACAGTAGGTGAAGGGCCTTGCTTTGGGCAAAAAGACAGATAACAGGGAACAGCATCTGTTGGTGTACCCCCATCCCAACCTCACCCATCTTTATCCTCACTCTTCATCAGTACTTCCCTCAGGAAAGGATGCCATGCAGTCATTCACACCAAGCTACAAGACTATTTTAAGAGGGCATAATGATAATAAACCAAAAGAATCGGGTTGAAAGGAAGGAATTTCAGGCACATTTACTTAATGGAGAGGGACAGGAGAGACATCAGCCTGTCTTAGTTTTGCTAGTTCATAAAACACCACTCTTTACTTTGTGTAGTTCTGTAACATTAGCATAAAAATGAGGTATATTACTAACATCCAGGCATCCCTGATGGAAATCTCAATGTTGACAAGAGGGGTGACAGCACATACTTGACAAACTAGGGAGTGTTCCAGCCGATGTACATCACCAGCCAAGGATGTTAAGTTTTCCTTATAGAAACTGATACTCAAGACACTTGGATGCCAAGTCAAACTCCACTCTCCTATTTTCTACTTAACTTCGCCTTATTATTTTTTCCCTTAATATCTCTATCTGTAAAACAGAAAAATCTCAAGGATAACTTGATTGAATTTGGCCCGTGGAAACAAATGAAGAAAGAAAGTAGGAAGAAAGAAAAACAAAGGAAAGGCATCAAAAAGGTTAAGAAATATAGTATTTTAAAAAGTATTCCCTCCATAGAAAGTCAAGCTAAATATGTTTTGAGTTAGTTACTATTTAGATAATATAGAAAATAAATTAATCACAGAAAAAAAGACATTTTAGCGAAAAGAGTTGTTTTTACATTTTTGTGAAAACAGATTTCTCTGTACCTTATCATTTAGAAGCGGTTTGATCTCTGTGAGTTGAACATCCTGAAGTTCATCCATGAGGACAGATGAAAGCAGAGGAGTCTCAAGAATAAATCAGTTAACTCTGAAACAGAAGATAAGTGAAGAAAAATGTTTAAACTAGGAGTTGGAAATATAATAACCACATTACATCCATTCATTCACATATTAGAGCTTAGCATCTGTCATGCACTGCTCAGGGTGCTGAGGACACAAGAAACCAGGTAGTGATGGCAGACAGACTCTAAGTGGCCTCCATAACCTTTGCCTCCTGGTATTCATACCCTTGCGCAACCCCTGCCCTCCGCACACACTGAATGTGGACAAGACCTGTTACTTGCTTTTTTTTTAAAAGATTTTACTGGGAAATCGGGGGAGGGGAACAGACAAGTTGCTGTCCTTTTTTTTTTTTTTTTTTTTTTTT